ATTTATCAAAAAGTAATGAAGAACTCTCACCTAGAGGCTATCCTGCGACACACTTAGGCTCAAGCTGTAACAGAAAATTCCAATTAGTAAAGAAATTAATTTGAAAAATTACCTTGACGTTTCGATAGCTAGTTTCTGCTATCGTTATCAAAAGAACCTAAATGAACCTAAAAAAAAGTATATTAATAAATTGTGTAGTAGGTAGAAGACGAAGACTTTTGTCATCATCTTCTTAAATTGGCTTAACGATAGCTGAAAAGACTTCTTAGAAACTGGCATCAAAATATTGGCAAACTTTGAAACTTTTGAGTTTTTCGGCCGTCCTAAATAGGAGTTTCTTTCTGACGTTCTGACCAAAGATATTCCGTTTTACGTCGGCCTAAAAACCCGTAAAACTCACAAGTTTCAAGAAATGTCCTCGAAAATCTCTATGTATTGGAAAATTCTGTTCTGCAAAAAACTTCACCCTGAGAAGTAGTGCTTTGTGTTCAGGGTGTAAACTCCTTCATTTGGGATTCTCTTCTGTTCAAGAAACACATTTTTGTTAAGTTGGCACCGGAAATTATTGTTTAGCGTCATTTAGACTGGGTAAAATGTATTTATGAGTCTGCGTCTTCTTCATTTTTAACGCGATTAACAGTTGTTTTATACTCAAGCAGTACGAATTTCTAAATTTCTCTTTTATCTTCTTTTTCTTGCGTTCATACTTTTCTCCGTAGCTAGCAATTTGATTTAATTTGTTCTCCTTAAAGTCTCCTTCTCGTATTTCTTTTTCGAATGTTGCATCGTGAGACTTTCTCCCAATTTTGGAAACTTTCTTCAATTGGTGCTGGTTAGAGAGCATTTAAAGTTACTTACTACTACTGAAAGAGTTCATTTGACTTTCAAACTTTATTCGCTTCAACCTCATTCCATCCTCATCCACACTATTATTGACTTAGAAAAAAAACATTTTTCATTGGTTGTTTATCCATGTTTAAGTGGCCGATGCCGGCCAAGGAAAGTTGACTAGATCGCATCTGTCAACACCAAAATATTCCGAAACCGCACAAATAAACAGGGGAACAAAATAGAGACGTCCAATATAACCCTCGTCCATTGTTGGCGGCCTCCTTGAAAAGCGTAACGAATCGTGATTAGAGAAACTTTTACTTTTGTGAGTGCGAGTTGTAAGCCCAGTTAGATACTGTTTGGTTTGTCGGGTGTCTTTATCCCTTCTAATGCCCGATTTTCGGTCCATTGTGTGGCACATTAAGGGCGGTATGAGAATGATTCCATGGGATGTTGTTCGAAAATTTTGAAATTTTAATTTGCCTGCCTGCG